GAAAAGGAGAGAGGAGATGATGCGTAGAAGTTTGGGGACCAAAATGTGAAAAAATGATGAAGGCGACTAAAAATTGTACCATGCGACCGCATAGTAGTACAATTTACCATGTAGTTGCATATAGGCCTACTGAAAAAATGTCTAAGCATCACACTTGAACCATGTGGCTGAACATAAGGAACTATGCAGTCATATAGTTATAAAAGTGTGCTGAGTTTCAGTTTTCCTTGTACGACTAAAACTCAACTTGGTAAGATTTTGGACAATATCTTTTTCCTAGATTCGAGCCATATAAATGCTTGAACGCGCCATACATATGGAAGAGCCTTTTTCATGAAACAAAAACAACTCAAGAACTTGAAGATCTCGAGAAAACTATATTGAAGAACAGGGCAAAAGTTAATTTACAGGGGTTTTCAATTGGGAAATTGCAAGAGGATTATCAAGGAGATTTCATACCGGAAAATTTGCGCAAGGATTGGGAGGAAAATTTAAGTGATATCAAGAATATGTGTTTCTCATTAATTATTCAATTTTCAAGTGATGTTTATTAAACTATCAATGATTTCTTATAATTTGAACATGCTCGGCTAGATTGATACATTGCTAGGATGAGATGAATTCTTGTTAGGATATTTTCGATTTGAATAATTGGATTGACGTTAATTTGTTTAAATGATTGGATGTTCATTATACCTCTATGCTTCTCATAATTTCTATAAATTTTCTAGCTTGATTAATGCTTTCTTACATGTTCGTATATTTGATAGAGATATAGAAAGGTTACACATGGAAATGGATTTAATTGCTATCAAGAGAAGCTTTTAAATAAAATAGAAAAATTGACCAACAAGAATGATATCAAATTGTCACTTTCAATTGTTGAACTAAAAATGGATTAAAAAGGGAGATTCTACATTTTAGGATTACATCTCACTAATTTGATAAAACTTTACTTTGCTTTCGAGTTAGTTTATAATTTAGACATTAATTGCTAAAACATTTTATTGCTATTTGACTAAGAGTATTAATAGCTTCAATTCGATTGAACACATTCTTTTCTGGGTTCGACACTTAATTCACCATTATATTACTTGATCACGATTCTGTACCCTTGGGGGTTGTCAAATAGTCACATACCTATGCGAGGCATGGGCGTTAAGAGGTCTACAAAAGCATTTTTTGTTTTAATAGTATTTAAAATTTTTAATCAATTTAAAATTTATTTAATAATGCATACAAATTATACTACCAAATGTAGTTTTAAAAGTTTTAACAAGATAAATATATTTTCAAATGATAAACAAGATATATTAAGAGTGAATGCTAAACGAACGTGGCTATGTCTTCCCCATTGGCTGGAGGCCTGTCCCCCATTGACCCAGACGTATTTCTCTTGGAGGGACATGGCCAATGCTGCCCTATCCGTCTAGAACAATTCATATTATAACAATGCTAATTGAAATATTTGGAGAGTTCTTAATTTTTATTAATTAGTTACAGATAGGAAAATGATTATCTAACTTAATAAAATATAGATAATGTCATGAAAAGAGAGAAAAAGAAAAGAGAAGATAAAAGTCAATAGATTTTTGTGTTTTATTAAGAACCAAAACCATATATTTATAGGGAAGAATCGGGGATAAAACGCTAATAATTTCTAGTGTTGCAGGGGTACAATTTTCATTCATTAATAAACTTAACATTTATAACACTCCTCCTTGAATGACATATTATAAAATATCTACCTCGTTAAAACTTTATTTGATAAAAACCTTATGGGATACAAAAAATGAAGGAAAACAAGTACAGTTATTTTGTAGTATAAAAAATAAATATTGCTTCATTAAAACCTTACTAGAAAAACCTAGTGGGATAAAACCAAAGCGAAGGAAAAAGAGTGCAGCTACTCTCCTAATGTTGATCACTAAAAAACTATGGGTAGATGCATTCCAATCTCACAAATTTGTTGGAAATTGATGTCGCCATTCTTTTGAAGCTCATATGTATAAAAGAATTTTGAAGAAATATCCTTCGTCCTATCACCTTTGATATGGCCTCTTTTGAGGTGTGCAATACAAGTTACATTGTCTTTATATAAAATTGTTGTACTATCTTTTGCTGATGTTAACCCGTATGATGCTTGGATATGATGAATCATGTTCCTCAACCATACACATTCTCGGTCTGCTTCATGAATTATAATAATTTTTGAATAATTTGAGTATGTTGCTGTTAAGGATTACTTTATAGATCACCATGATATAGTTTGTCCTCCATGTGTAAACACATATCCTATTTGTGATTTAACTTTATATAGGTCAGAGAAAAAACTTGCATCTACATATCCCATTAAACCGGATCTCTACTTTTGAGAATATAATAATCCCAAATCAACAGTGCCATTTGGTTAATGAAAAATATGTTTAACACCATTCAAATGTTTTTGAGTTGGTGTAAAGCTATATCTTACAAAGAGATTTATAGAAAAATTATGTTAGGTCGAGTTCTGTTTGCAAGATAAGTTAATGCTTCAAGTGCCCTAAGATATGGTACTTTAGGGCCAAAAACCTTTTTCTTTATCTTCAAGTAGACAAAATGGATATTTTTCACATCAAGTGATCGAACAATCATATGTGATATCAATGGATGTGCATTGTTCATATAAAAAAGGTTTTAAAACTTTTTCTATATATGTAAATTGATGAACAAATAATCCTTCTGGTAAGTATTCAATATGCAACCTAAAACAAATTTTGATTTTTCCCAAAAATTCATCTCAAATTCATTTTTCAAATAATCAGCAGTTTTGTCGAGTTCTTTAGGAGTTTCGATTAAATTTAAATCATCAAAATAAACTGCCACAATTGCAAATCTAATATTTATTTTCTTTATGAAAATATATGGACAGACTTCGTCATTTTATAGCCTTCATTCAAAAAATATTCGCTAAGACAATTATATCACATACGTCCATTTTATTAGATCAATCATTGCTTCGATTGATATATTTCGGCGCATTTATTTTGATTCCTAGCTATATGATGCAGTATATCATATATAAAATTGATGTCGGCAATTTTTTCTTTTAGATTCTATTTGTCTTCCCATAATAAAATAACTTGTTGAAATATCTTAAGTTTCATTATTTTAGACTCCTGAGCTTCTTCTGAGATCTTATAATTTGTTATGTTTAAATACCCATCAAGAGTATATGTCTCCTTAATGAGACCAACTTTGCTACTTGCTTCATTTTCATTTGAAGATATTTTTGTATTGGAATCGAACATCATCACATTTTAGGTGTATCATAGATATATCAAATATAATGCTAACAAATTGTCCTCATAAGACATCAATTCATATTGGAGCATTTAAAACTGATACATCATATATTGTTTATCTCTTTGATCAGTAAATGCATCTAACAAAATAAATTATCTTTCGAATTTTGGTACGAATGATATTTTGCAAGGATTTAGATGATGATGCATTTATACATGATTTTCAACTTTTTAATTCCTTCCCTTAAATGCTGAGAGAATTGTCCAATCAAATTAACAATAATTTTCTCAACGTTACAAAATATTACTTATTTGGGATAAGGATTCAAACTACACATTTATTCTCAACATTCTTTATTTTCCATCTTAGTGCATTGTGGCGGTATAATTTTACATATACTTCACTTTCAAAATAATTAGATGAATAAATTAGGCTTTGACCATAAGCTAATTATAATAGGGTGAACTATGATTTTGGGATAATATGTAACAGAATTCCATAAATAAAAATAGGAAATATTTTGTTCATAATTAAATTAATTAGGGGCATTTAACAAACAATAATATTAAATCATTTATCAACATACTAATTAAAACTTATTAAAATGTTGAAATTTATTCCTAGTAGCATTAACAAGACATAATCTTGATCATATAATCTAAAAATTATGCTCATAATTTTAAATTAGAGTAGTAATTTCGCATACTTCAGGTTACAAATACCATGCAATTATCTAGTATATGTATCAAATCTTCCAAATACAAATAATATTTAGATGATTAAAGTGGATGATGATGAGACCTCATTTACCACCTTAATTAACTTTCGGAAGTATAGGAAATTCAGTTCCAATTTTAACTAGTAATGGTTAATGAAAAATTTTCATGAAAGAGAACAAACGTCATATAGGATTGAATTGAAGAATCTTCTAGTTTTTCATTGAATGTCCATTTGAATTTTTAATTTTGCATCATTATTAATTCAGTGATGATCAAACTGGTCATGCCAAACAATAAAATGAAATTGAACTTATGGTTCAATATAAGATATAATTCGACGATTTAATTTCGAAGAATACAATTAAAACTTATATAATCATATATTATTCGAATAGTCAAACTAATCAATGTCCTCATGACATTAATTATATGTTTTCTTCCAAAGATAAACATTAATTCAAAACGATATCTTATTTGAAAATATGCTACTTCGAATGCACATTATATTTAATTATTGCTTCTTCAAGAGCAATATGTCAATATTATTTTAGAATACAAAAAATTATAATTCATGCTCTTCAGGAGTGATAAATTAATATTATTTTTGAATATTAATAATATAGAAAATTAGTTTTTTTTTTAAAAAAAAAATTGCAACCACATATTGAGTTGTTTAGTTTGTGTTTCTTCAAGAACGCAATGAGATTTATATTATTCAGGATTGGTACTATTTCGAGAGTACGTTATATTTTATTGCTGCTTCTTCAAATGCAATAAATCAATTTTCTTTAAAATATTGGAAATAATATCACGCTCTTCAGGAGAATAGACATAATATTCTTCTAGAATATTAGTTGTAATGTTGTACTACTTCATGAGCAACATCATGATAAATTATTAATTTAATATTTATAGAAGAACATATAAAAATATTTAATTAACATAGACATGATATGATTCTCCATTTCCAGTGACACCCATGACATACCCACCCTCCAGGCCGATCTGGATCCTCATTGCGCTCGTATAAATGTGTTAATAACATCAAATGAAACTCAAAATCAAGACCTACAGCCATTTTCCTTTACAGCGAGTTTGGCTGCTTCAAACCTATTTTTTGGCTCAGCGCGATGACCCACGATTGTGGATCACTTGTACTAGCACCACCTCTTCATGATGCATCTAATGTAACCATGGGTCATCATCAATTTTGTCCAAAAATAGTATAATCACGCTCAATAATTCATGCCAAAGAAGCACTGATCGATCCCCTTTCAATTGATCATTCTACAGGGCTTCAATTCATCAATTCAAGCATAAAATCTTCAATTAATGTTCAATAAAATCTTCAATTAATGTTGAACATGGGTCCTTCATCAATTGCAGCAATTTATCAACCAAACGAATCGATATTTGGATTGAGCTCAAGATCTATGCGGTCGAGCGCGAACTCAGATTTTCAACCAACTGAAGGTCCAAACCTATTCCGCTCCACAAATTACACCATAGGAAATTCAAGTCAAGAATAATCAACACTAGGTCAGGCTCCAATTACTCCATGAATTCCTCCTATTACAAGGTCAACCTCCTTTGACCTTCTACAAACTGCCCTAATAAATTATGTTATTTCTGGTCGGATTCCAAGCACGAAACCATTGTTATTGAATCCGGAAGCCTGAAACCCCTAGGTTGATATCCATTGAGCCTAATTTGGTTGGTATTGTTGCATTGGGACCCCTGCCAAATTTCATGATAAATGAGCCTGCCATTTCAGCAATTTGTGCGAAGGATTAGGCTACTATTACTCTACCAATGACCTCAACACATCCAAAAATCCCTAGTTTTGTCAACTTGGCATCTAATTTAAATGAAAATGTGACATTAAACGTGTCTTCACACGAAAATCAGAATACTAGACCAACAGCTGATCATCGCAATCCCCGGCCTTTACTTATCTGATTAATCAAGTTAGTCTACACACAGTCCCAAAGGCCCAGATTTCACCATTCCGCGTTGTACCCCTAGGATAGTTACTGCTTTTTGAGCCCCCTACTCAAGCTAAATTGTTACCAGTTGGTCATACATCATAGGCCAATGGAAAGAAATCTTATGCTACTGTCCTCTCAAGCAAACCATTTATTTCTCAGGTCGAGCGGAGTTAGAGAAAATATTTTGCACCTATCCTTCAGGTCTCATAGGATTCCAGAACTCAAGTTTGGTCCTAAGGAACCATTCATGCATATGGGGGAACTTCCTGACTCCTTTATCGAGAAAGAGGAGGAACTCCGATTGAGTCATACAAGTTCACACTTGTAGATAAATTCTCTCACTGCAAACCTCCCATAGCTAAGGTACTTGACATTTTTCAAAAATTTAGTTTTAATGGTGATTTTATGATAGGTCTTATTGATACATCACATATTTTAATCCATTTGGTGCATGAGAATGACTACTCACGGCTTTTAAATGGATGCCTACTTTCAGCCCAAAACATGAGACCCTTATTGTTGTTGTATGGGTTTCCTTTCTACTACTACCCATTTACTTTCAGGCCAAGAGCCATTTATTTGCATTACCTAAGGTAATTGGAGTTTTACTTTGCATTGATGAGTCAACATCAGATTTATGCCGACCTAGTGAGGCATGGGTATGTATAAAGGTTGATTCGGTGAATAAGCTCCCTGATAAGATTTGGATTGAAGGAAGAAGCGTGGTGGGTACTGGCAGACTGTCCTACATGATAAGAAGCCAAACTATTGTTTTTGCCTTAGACACTTTAGGCATATCGATTAGCACTATTTTTTTGGAGCACCACCACAAGTAGCAATTATTGTTGAAGACCATATTCCTAGGCCTACTATGGGTAAGGAGGTTTTTTTAAGCTTTCTAAGCAATGGGTTCCAGTCCATAGAGAATCGAGTGGATAGCAATTTAGTGACAATTTGGGCACATAGAATCAGTCTACTTTACAGCCTGCTCCACCAGTTAATACAGATGATATACCAGTCCCGACTGGTACATATAGTCATGTTCACTCAGTTGTTCCATTAGTACATCTCACGAGCCATGCAATTCAGCCAGCTCTCAGTTCAGTTGCTCCTCTAATTAGCTCTGCATTGCCATCTACTTCTACTATAGTTGCTACCACTATGGATTTTCCCAGGTTATTAGGACCATCTCTACTTTATATTTTGATCATCTTGTGAATTTTATTGCCTGAGAATCATTGATACCACACGACTTAGATTATGAGGATATTAGAGCTGCATAGATCATCGATCTATCTTTGGTTCAGACATAGGAAACTATTACCACTACTGCTCTCCCTTTTTGTTAGCAGAACATAGAGTCATCTATTCCTTCTCTATATTTTGAGTAGTCAGATGCAGAGAATATATTACAGATTGATGTATAACAACAATAAATATCTTGTAGATCTTCTGTTGAGGATTTGGTTGGTATGGCAGGGCGGACTGGGGATGATTGTTTTGTCTGAGTTACACGGAAGAAATATCCACGGGTTACTAACACTCTACATTCAAGCAAGAGGATCACTAGGAGTCAGTTACATGGTATCTGCTCATATTTCCTATCCCTATGAGTGCCATCATATGGAATATGATAAGTATAGTTAGTTTATCTACTCGCAGGCACCTGAAGAAATTGATTCGGCTTTATCAGGTTTATCTCTTGGTTATTCTGGTCCCTTTTATTCTTTAACACAGACTTGCATTTATTCAACAATATCTATGCTTTGATACTGGAGTACAGAATGAGTCGAACAAAATCTATTTTTTTTGGAATATGGAGACTATTGTTACTGTTATTCATGATCATCCCTAGTTCTTTCACGTTAGATTTGAAGATCCCAGACTAGCGCGTCCCATCTATTTGATCCCTGCCTATGTCTCATATGATGCTGCTACCAGGAGGGATGTGTAGGCAAGACTTTACATTTCCTTCTCCATGTAAGATCGTTAGCTAGTTGGGAGAGACTTTAATGTTATTGCACATCATGGTGAACGCACTAGTCACAACACTCGTGATCGAGGTTCTGTTGCTTTTTCTAATATGATGCTGGATTGTAGGTTGGAGAATGCTGGTTTCTATGGGAATTGATATACTTAGACCAATGGTTGGGTCATGAAAAGACTAGATAAGTTTTGATTAACTGCAACTTTTTATCGACAACCTACAATGAGGCCTTTGAATTGGACTTCATCTGATCATTCTCCTTTGTTTCTACCGTGGACATCTGATGAGGATCTAGGAGCCAGGCCTTTATGATTCCTCAGTGCATCGACAAAGCACTATGATTTCTCAGACATTGTCTCTCAGAAGTGGTCACTTTCGACTCATTTTGTAAAGATGTCCGCTCTCTGGAAGAAGTTTTTCAAGTTGACACAGGGTCTACTTTAGTGGAATCAATGGATATTTGGTTATATTTTCCAATAGGTGAGGGAATCTGAGGAGAGGGTCAACCAATCAGAGATTGATTTTGAGTGTGACCCTACACCAAAGCATTGTGATTTATTACATCAGGTACAGGCTGATCTGAAGTGGACTTTTTCTATTTAGGAGGGCTCCTGGAAGTAGAAGACCAGTTTATGTTGGGTGTGTGGAGGAGATCACAATACCTTGTATTTTTACGTGATGGTTCAGGGACATCGGATCAAATCTCCTACAGGACTCAAGCAGGAAAAGTCTTATCTTCTACTGATGACATTCAAAGATCGGCTACATCATTTTTCATGACTTATTATCTGCTTCATTATAGCCCCTGGATCCCATCCATCCAGACATCATACCCAGGCTGCTACTGATGGAGGGGGATAATATAGCACTTAGTTGTCTCCTTTTGATTCATGAGGTTTGGGAAGCGGTCTTATGATAATGTCACAGACCTAGATAGATTTTCATCATTATTCTTTTAGCATTGTTGGGATATCATACAGGAGGATCATTACAATGCATTCGTTGGTTTTTTTGAGGGTGGACATCTGTCTCGTGGTTTCGTCGCTACCTCTATTGTTTCACTCTCGAAAAGGGAGAATGCTTGTCGATAGATAGAATTCAGACCTATCAGCCTTTGTTAGACCACTAAGCTGTTGAACACCAAATTGAGCTCATCACTGCCCTGTACTATCTCTCCGCATCAGGGTGATTTTATCCTTGGTCACCTTCAAGGTGATAATGTGTTATTGACTTAGGAGCTTCTCCACACTCTGGATAATAAAGTACGATGGGAAATACTATGCTGAAGCTTGACATGGCTAAGACTTACAATCGTATGGATTAGGGAGTAATTTATTCTATACTGGAGGTATTTGGATTTGATCAATTGAGGATTGATATGATCAAATGGTGCATTTTCGAGTGTCAGTTCTCAATGCTTCTAAATGCCATCCATGTGGTTTCTTCCCATCCTCACCTGGGCTCAGACAGGGTGATCCCATCTCACATTCCCTATTCATTATTACTGCAGACTATTTCTCTCACCTTTCAACTTAGAGGTTTCAAGCCTATTCCACTATGCGATATTAGCGTGGAGGTAGCACTAATATCTCACACCTTTCTTTTGCTGACAACACGACCATATTCTCGAATGGCCAGAAATAGTCTATTAGGAGGGTCTTCGACTATTTGGAGCATTACGAGAGGGTTTCTGGCCAGCTAGTGAATATAGACAAAAGTGGTCTTATACTACCTAAACTGGTACGAGATATTCAGATAAAGAGACTTGTATTCTTGAATGGGTTCATTCATCAGTAGTAGTTGTTTACTTGTATTGTAGTCCCCTTATTTAAGGGGACTAAAAAGAGTTTCTTATATGATGACCTTATCATGAAGGTCAGGAGCAGGATATCAGGCTAGACCTCTCATTTACTATCACATAGGGGCCAAATTACTCTATCTTTTTTAAATTATGTGGCCTCCCGAGGTTGCACTATAAAAGTTGGATAACATCTTTGCACGGTTTCTATGGGATTCCAAGGATTAGGCATGTAAGGAGATTTGCTTTCCAACAAACGAAGGTGGACTAGGATTCAAGAGACTACAGGATATTGTGGATACTTTTTCTATGAAGCTTTGGTAGTTGTTTCGATCTGATAATTCTCTTTGGGCTCAGTTCTTAATGGGAAAATATTGTATGGGGACTCATCCATCACTTGCAGTAGTTCCCTACTCAGCATCTCCTACCTGGAAGAGGTTGAAAAGTGTTGCGCCACATCCTAAGCCATACATTGCATGGTACCTTAGCGCAGGACAGATGTTCTCTTGGCACGATTGCTGGATAGGTAATATTATATGGCATCTCTATTCCCAAACAGGAAACACATATTTGTGAGGGTGCAGGATTTTTTTTATGACACTGGGTGGGATTTTGGATAATTACTATTATAGGCTCTTTCTCCTTACATGGCGAAGCAGATTGGGGGAATACCTGTATGTGTAAATGTCCCAGACCATATTGTTTGGAGGACTACTTTGGATGGTAGCTTTGCTATTAATTCAGCATGGCAGCTAATCCGTTTGATTCACCAGTTTAGGACTCGTGATTATTATGGAGCTCCACTTTGCCTACCTCTATTTCATTTTTCTATTGGAGATTATAGCAGGATCTCATTCCAATAGTTGTAGTCATTCAAAGGAGGATTGGGTGTTAGTTGGCCTATCGATGTCAGTGGTGCTCTGAGATTTAGATCATCAGCCATATTTTCACTTGCAATAGGATTTCTGATCAGGTATGGCAGTACTTTGGAGACATTTTTCAGATATCTATGAGATCAAGAGAGGGGGCTCAAACAGAGATTCCAGAGATGGAGATATTCTAGACAGTATATTCGCTGTGGACATATTTGCACCATCATTCCTCTACTGATTTCTGGTTTTTATGGACCGAAATGAATGATGCAAAGTATAGAGAGATCCGCATGGTGTGTCTAGATGGATTATTTGGAAGGTATACCACATTGTCTCTCTCCTTCATATGCGAGAACTTCTTAAACCCTTGCAGTAGAGAAGTGACTTAACACTTGCACCACTTCTTAGTATTTCTATGGCTCTCCATTCTTTACTATCGCATATTATGGTTGTTTACTGCACTCCACCAGTGGGATCTTACAAGATCAACACTAATGGATGCATCAAGGATGGATTTGCAAGTGGTGGGGCCATCATTAAAGACCACACAGGACATTGCATCAGGACACTCTCAGCATCGTATGAATGTTTGATTTGGAAGTCAAGCTCAGAACTATACTGGGTGGGATTCTATTGGCTAAAGGAATTGGGTTATTAGCTATTTGGGATAAGGCAGATTCGACCGTGGCTATTCACTGCATCACCAGCGGTGGAGGACCATGGAAGATTCAGGGCACTCTTAGGCAGATTAGAGACCTCATTTCCTTTGACAGAGAAATAGTTTCCCACATCTACAAAGAGGGGGACCAGACTGTAGACTCGCTTGCTTCAGAGGGTTGGGATCACCGACACTATCAGAAGTATAGACCATCTATCTATCACGAAAGATAAGGACACTAGTGCAGATCAACAAACATGGACAGTCTAATTTTACAGGGAAGTAGTACTGTTCTATTTATTGCCTTGACTTCTTTTGTATTCACTTTTGCATTGTTTCTTTTTTGGAAGTAAGGTTTATGTTATGTTCCCCTTCTTTCCCGTATTCTAGATTTTTATTTATATATGTGGTTGGGGAACCCTTAACCCCAATCAACCTTCCTCGGTGGACCGTAAAAAGTTACTATGGATGAGTGGATGTCTTTATTTGAAAAAAAAAACTATATTTATAGGGAAGAACCAGAGATAAAACGGTAATTGTTACGCCTCATTTTACGAGCCTCGATACCGAAGTGTCATCTCACCACCGAAGCCAAGATCAAATAGACCACTCCGACCTTCCCGAAGCTTCTCCGAAGTGATACATAGATTACTCCGACCTTCCCGAAGCTTCTCCGAAGTGATACATAGATTCCTACTACTGATCTGCCGAAGTATCCCACTCCGAGGTCGGGTTCAGGTGGACCCCGGTTAGAATATCCGTCGCCAATTTAAGATTTGTTCTGCATATAAGGTTTAAATTGATTTGACGTCCCCATGAGGCTATTTGATGTGACTTATCAACTTTATGTCAATTCAACTCGGGGGAAACAAACTGTCCGCCCACTCTACAGGCGCGGCTGATTGACGCCTATGAGTAGACGCTTCATATCGTCAGATATATACACGTGTTCCACATCCCACGGTTCATACCACCTATAAATACCCAAAGTTTGGCAAGAGGCAAAGGTAATGAAACTCTCAATACATAGCATTCCATAACAAGTTTATATATTCTCCTCCCACTCTATTGATTGATTTGTGTAGCCCTAGGGCACTGTTCTGACCACTCAAACCTGATTTGACCGTCAGAGTGTATACGGCCGCCACCCTCGTCGGTTCCGGCCGTGTGCGCCTGACTATTTATTCATTTTACAGGGAGGAATATGTGGAGTAGCTATAAGTTGGCCACGTGGAGGAGCCATTTTTGGAGGTCAACAGTAATAATTTCTATGGCTGCAAGGGTATAATTGTCATTTATCACTAAACTTTCCATTTACAACAGATAACTATTTAAATAATAGTATAATATACTACAGCCAAATCGAAGGTACAACACTAGGAGAAATGTTGAAGTTACCCAAAATTACTGCTGCTACTTATTTTTGTTGCATCTCTATCTAAATATCTCTATTTGTAATGCTTGTCTTATTCTGTTCGTCTATATGCTTGAAAGTGCTTAAGACTTTCTTCTTTCTTCCTTTTGATTTTCTTTGTGAAAATCGTGTAAAAGAGGAACGTTTATGTGTGTGTTGAGGAACAATAACCTCGTCTTAGTGAGAGGTACTAAATGTTGTAATTTTGAGAGTTTTTTTGGTTTTGTGTTTTCTGTGAGTCAAGTATAGACCAAATAAATAGAAAGATCAAAGCAGTAGAAGAAATAACATGTGCAACAAATATTTAACTAGAAATAATCATTAATAATTTACAAAGAAATGAAAATGAACAAAAAGGGAAAAAAATTGCTCCAGATGAGGGTTTTAATATTTTGCTAGAGGTTAGTTTAATCTAACTCAGTTTCATCCTAAGGAGCAAAAACTAAAATGGAAATAGACTTTTAAATTTCCTTGCCGAGACATGTGACTAGTGCCTAAAGAATTTAGAACATTTTGTGTACTAAGAGTTCCTCTCTTCATTAATTGATGCTAATTCTACTTCTGCAGAATCACTCTCATTTTGCTGGTCAGATTCATAAATTTCTTCCTCACCTCTGCTCAGAGGCTCTTCAAAGATGCTCACATCTCTGCCTTCACTAGAAGTGGGACCTGCGACGTCTTGGATGAATTCATGGCTTTCCTCCCTATCATTGTGTCTTGAACGAAATTTTGAAGAGATGAAATTGAAGCACATTTGGCTGTACAGAGCAGTCAGGGCAGTAAACTTTCGTCCAACTGATGTCTCAGAGCAGAATACAGCAAACAAAGTAACTGATCCTACTATAATGAAGAGGCCTCCAAAGTTGTAAAAAGTTAGACTGGAAGTCTGTTGCGAAACTGTTGAGGAAAGTGGATCTTGAGATGAGTAGCCAGGTCCAAAATTTGTTCGTTCAATAGATGTCATGTTTGGACCTTGAGTGACGGCCAAGATTGCTCTTGAAAAATATGATGTTAACGGAGAGTGAGCAGGAAATGCCTGCTTAGGTGATGAAGCAAATAAAAAAATGAACTTCATATGAAACAAAATATCTAGAAGCAAACGTCTATTGTTAAAGAGGTTGTTTGGTCTAAAACAATTTAGGTTGTTAAGGCAGTGAATGGAGAAATATAAGTATAAACCTCTATAATACCTTCCCTGAGTTGGCATTCTGAGTCCTATTCTCTTGAACTTGTACCCTAAGGAAATGATTGTGTATAAGATAAAGAACGAGAAAACTTACGAAACCAAATCCATCTGTCCTGTAGGTCGGTCCAACCATTTTGTATTGAGAATCGTACTTCTTGAGGAAAATCTTCATGTAAGGAATCTCATCAAATATGGCATCTATGCCTCCTCTTTTACTTCCTCTAGACATAGCCTTATGGTAATCTTCAACTGATGAGTAGCTTTTGAGCCTTGACTCGTGAATGTGAAGTTGCTCTTTCAAAAATTCTTTCATGAAGGAACCCTCCTGATATCCCACATAGTAATCCTCAGAAAATGCAAATTTTAATTGATCTACTGTCAAAATTGCTGATAAGTTCGCTGTGTAGCTCTGCATAAGGATGAATGCCATGAACAGCCAAAACACCAATACAAATATCGACCAGCTATTGGCCACCATACTCCCTGTCAAGAGTATACAGAGTCTCATGTGAATAAAGTAATCTTTATGGTGCAGATTGAAAAATGTGGTGTGTTTCTTGCTCTAGCTTATAGGCGTGGACTAAATATTCAGTAATTTAACTGGACATTTCTTAGTCAGTCTGGAACAAATGGTTTTGTGTCTATGTCCAGTTTTCCATGTGACACACACAGGAGCCAATTTTTCCAGACTATCCAAGGAGAATCAAGACGATTGGAAAATAAAAAACTCAAAAAAATATCAAATTACTTTCAGGAAATGCAAGAACTGCTATCGGAGACCAGTAGATCATTCTAAGTCTCTCTCTGCGTGGCCTAATGGACTCTTCGTTGGTGTTTTGTACTCTGTGTTCTAATAGTCGGAGAACAATTCCCATCAAGACACAAGCCAAGGTGATTGCTAACCAAAGATCCCACCTCAAAGGTTTTATAAAAATCCACATGTCAAAAGGCTTCTTATTTTTTACCACTAGAATGACTCCTGATTCTGAATATGGCAGCGAAAAATCAACATAGTTTGCTCGTGGTGCCCAAATTGTCGTGTCTCCCACCACCATGTCAAACATCTGAAATTTTATTTTTGCAAGGAACAAAAAAAGGCGAGGAAGTGCTATAAATCTTTGTGTAAGCATGAAGAACTGTCAGAATATGATCAAATATAAACAAAGAGAAGTGAAGAGTAATGACTTGAAGATTAAAGTACCTGAGGTATTCTGTGAAGCATTCCATCATAGCTCCAATTAATATCGTTACTGTCATTATAATGATAAAATTCGTAATTAATAGGGAAAGGTAACCATGGCAATGTAGCCAAGAAGATATCAATTGAAAAACCAGTTGCATTTGTAAAATTTGTTGCAGAATCTATCGTTACATTTACAAATTCTCTGAATCCATTTTTCACTGGAACCCCAACTCTCAGTTTTCCTGTTGCAGGAATAGCCCAACCTTTTGGTCGCGTGACAGAATCTCCAGGCCACAAGACATTTTTTAGATTTTTTGTAGATGCTGAGTATGTAGGTTCACCAGTTGAACTTAATTCTCTGGATATTCCTCTGTCCAGTGTCCAAAATCCCACGGTTTTCTCTCCAGTTCCAATTACATTGAATATCTCAAAGGCTGGAGGTTTCAATTGCCCATTAATCAATTGAAAGTCTCCACTCAGGCCTCTGAATTTTGTGTTTGAAAATTCACTCAGAAGTTTTGGTCCAAATGCTGAGATTTTCATGTTTGTATCGTCTGTTCCATTTTTGCTGGTGTTCACATTCAGTAAGCTGGAGTTTACGGGTCCAATCTTCTCTGCTGCAATTGCCAAGGAGCACACTGTGTCGTAAACCCACAAACCATAGACATTGAAGTCCCTAATTGAACCTGTACTTTTCTTCGTAACCATATTCCTTCGCCACCTTTCTTGGAATCTGTCCAGCTTTTCTGACCTGGATACATAGGGCCTTATGCCCAAAACACCTTCCATTGAAGCACGAGCAACAAAGTCCATAGAATTTAAAAAGTTTGACAAATATTCAGTGATAATCCACGCGTACCCTTCAGTCATCATTCCTGCTTTTTTGGCAAGAACAAAGAGCCGGTGACCAAGTGACACATTCATGTGCACCAGGAAAACCCTCGTTTGCTTTTCTTTAAGCTTGTTGAATTCTTTCAATATTTGATTATCATCTGATGATATGGAGATGGAACTCATATATGTTATCCCAATTTCAACCTCTTGGAATGCTTTAATTAGATGTGAAAGAAATTGATAGCCATAATCCGTGTCTTCATACAAGATCACTACTTCAGGCCATTCATATCCTTTGCAAATTGCTGCAAGAGCTTGAGCTTGATATGTATCATTTGGAATCGTCCTGACAGAGTAGCGGTTTTGTGCTGAGGGAAGAGCTGAGCTTGCGGTGAAAGAAATTACCGGGACATGAACTTTTCCTCCAAGTTCTGCAACAAATTTGTCTTCTGTTGGACCCTGTGGTCCTAAAATCCCTTGCACTTCTCCACGCTTCAGTAACTCTAGAGCTACATAACATATCAAAAAAATGATTCATCTTCAAGTTTGAAAGAGAATAGGGGATATTTGTTAAGTTATTTACATTACTTTAAATATCCTAGGCACACTTGTTCGTTAGAGAAGTGGTAGCCTATGCTTGGCAAACCCCTGACCTTTTTATTCAGTTAAAAGAAGAAATAGTAGATATTCATGTTGATCCTAAGCTGTATAATGCATAAAAATTCATCCCAACGATTTAAGCTATTTCTTCCGTGCCTGCTTCCACTGGATTTACATTGCCACTCATGTCCACTGGGAATAAGTAAGACACATGGGACCATGACCATAACTTCAATTTGGGCCTTTCTATGAAGAGTAATGCTACTTAGTATTATTGATATCAAACACCAGTTTATGTGACAATTGCATGACACTAAGTGACATGATTCATTTAATTAAACTTATCAAGTGTGACTAGTACTAGATAATATTATTCTTCTATGAATGGGGGGGTGTGTATTTTTTTTTCCTCTTCTGAAGTTGATCAATATTAAATTACTAATAGAGTAATTCACAATGAAAATGTGATATGTCTTATAGTTTTTCAAATTAAATATGATGAAATAGTTAAATCTTAATATTTTTAGGATGGATTGACACAAGTGTTCGAGGAGAATTAGAATGGCACTATAAAATTTATGTGTTATTTTTGGGGTACATGGGGGGCAAATAAGGATGTCCATTCGGTGCCCCCTTATTGCGCACCCCTCTAATAGGGCGGGGGGTCGTCGGACACCCTTATGTTTAGGGTTATGTACCCTAAGAATAATTCAAAATTTATTTGGTTTGATTGAGACAAATTAATGAAGACGAAATCTCTCTCGATATACCATGCAAATTAGCAAGATTAAAAATATCACATTTTATATTTTTAAAAATATGAAATGATGGGAGAACTAAGGAAAATTTCTAGCGCATATATCAATGAAAATTATAACCAAAATTAACAGGTTGACTAGGCCATACAGAGTCAAGTTTAAAGAGCTGACCACTATCATGACAAGATAAAGCTCTATGGGTTGAGTTCGAGAAATCAAAGCTAAGAGAAAGTCTAACTCATCCTTAAAAATGGGGGAGCTCTCCCTTTTACATTCCCTAATATAGAAATCACAAATATTGAAAAATAATTTCTGTATTGTGTTCCTTACCCCCAAAATTTTTTCATTCTTTCACTTATAACCCGTTTGGCCACCATTTTTTGGAAATGAAAATGGGTGAAATATTGTTTTTTTTTTTTAAATGAGTGGTCGAAAATGAAGGAAAAGTTTTCGATTTACATATAATATAATTTTATGAAATATTGTTTGGTTAAAAATAAGAGAAAGAGAGAAAAAGAATATAATTAACATTAATTTAATGAGATTCAAACGGGAGCTTATTGAAGTATAAGTATTGTCTTCAATCTTCTTTTTGGTCAAATTTTTACAACTTAGGAAAAGGTCATGGTACTTCCGATTCATACCCAACCACCTAATTGGTTATACTCAAGATTAAGCTAGTCATAGTTTTATTAATGCTTGATCGGTTCAATAATAATAATAATGATAATAATAATGCTTGACCGTTGTTTGTTTGTACTTATTACTTTAAAAATCGAAATCAAATTTTAATTTTAATTACAAATTTCGCTCCTCCCATTTATCCATCACTTATTGCCATATTACAAATCCTAACAAGGAGCAACTCAATCGATGGAACAATGATTTTTCAATGAGCTGTACCTTTAATTGTTCTACATGTCATGTACTACTAGAATTGACAAATTTCGTCCTTAGCTTGCCTCTCTTACTTAACTTTCTATAATTTTATCCTACTAAAAGTACGAGATGTGACTTAAGCGTACAATTCTTTAAAATATAAAAGCAGAAAGTAAAGAAAATTAAACTTTCTTTGAAAAAATTACACAAGATTGAAGAAGTTTGGCATACTCTCAAACATCGTCCTTGTCTCTTGGAAGGAAAAAAAATTACCACGATAAAATAGGTAAAAAAAAAAAAAAAAAAAAAAAAAAAAAAAAAAAAAAAAGGGTGAAAACTTTGCACATTTCTCATGAAGGAAAACCATTGGAAAACAATTAACTTGTGAAGTAAAATATTTTAATGTGAAAGGAAATTTAAAAGATTCACTTGAGCTTCATGCGACTTTTCAAAGTAAACCATTTCTATATTCTTATATACATAACTTCTATTTTAGTATAAATTAAAATTCAAATTTTAATCTAAGAGCATGTTTGGTTTGATTAAAATCTGATTTTAATTTAAATTAAAGTCAAATAATCAATATTAATCATATGAGTTCCACAATTTTTCAATCACACATTTCAAAGACTTTTATCAACTTCTACTAAAAAAATCTAATTTTATTCTCCACCAAACATCCACTAAATCAAAGTTAACAACTAATTTTAATTTTAATACACATTTTAAGAGATCTACAGCTTTTTAAC